AGCTCTCACTCTCTACTCACGTGCCACTTAACACAAAGGTTGCCTCAACTTAGTGGTGGCCTCTACATGCCACAACAATGCCACTAATAATCAAGGTTACAATTTTACTGCCAAGACTGTATTATTATGTGGCATTATATGTTTGAACATGCCTATTCTCATTTCTAGCAAAGGGCTCAGCTCAGTGCTCCCTGTTATAAATCGTATGCTAATTATAAGTAAAATCTGAAAAGCGTTTACTTTTCTTTTAAAATGACGGTGTAGGGCATAAACTTTGTTGTGATGTTGTGTTGCTATTTTGGCTGAGGTGCCTTTGTCCTCTAGCACAGCTCCACTTGTAACATACCCGCAAAATACTGGGAGGCCAAGAACACAGTTTGCATAAATTGCTTATATTGCAGGATTATGCCAGCAGCACTGTCATTACTGCTGGTAATTTGATTCCAGCCCATCCTTTGACACATGCAACTTGAAGAAACTAAGTACCCATTAGGATGGATGTTCCTAAATGTGCTATCAGCCTGAAACTTCACATTATTTTAAAATACCTGGTAAAAATGAAAAATGCACACTCAGTCAAATGTTGGTTTTCATCTGTATGTCATCATCAGATTGTTTTAATTCTTGATGAAAAGTTGATGCTTGGAAAAACTCAGGAGCAATGAGTCAAATTCAGGCCTTGGCGAGATCCCAGTTCTCCAAAGGCTGAACATCATCTGAGCAGTGCTCAGAAGCTTATGCCCTGTATGAGTCACTTGTACCTCTTTATTACCAGTCCCTGGGAATGTGCCCCAAAGACAAATGGAATATTTCTGCCTCTGCCCTTGGGCTTTAGTGGATTTGTACTGGTATAACAGAACAGATTGGAATGGAGATGTGACCCATTTTGGTTCCAGCTGGTGATGAGTTCCATTTCAGGAGTTTTTAAAGGCTGAATCTGCACTTGTGCCAGGACTTTGCAAGTCCCGCTGACACCCACAGATGAGTTCTTTGAAGCCACTTTGAGGTGAGCTGCTGTGGTGGTTCCTGAGGCAGCTGATCTTTCCCCAACATGCTGTACAGGGACCTGATCCCATAGCATGGACTCCCTACTGCCATTTTTGCTTTTAGACCATCCAGAGGGACAAACACAACAGAGAACCACAGCTCACTTCCTTCAGCTTGCAGCAGCTCCCCTTCATTACTGCACATGCCCCAGCTTAGCCAACTTAGCATCCTCATATTCCTCATCCCCTCCCCAGGCTCAAAGTATGTTACAGAGCACTGGGTGTTTTGTACTGACTTTGTTCACCCAGCATGTGGAGAGCAAATGAGGTAGGAAAAGATGCTGAAGGCAGGTAAACAGCAAGAAGATTTGGAGTTGGGGATTGTTTTCCTATTGTAACTAGTTTGGGGGATATGTTTTGCATTTCTGGTTTGTATATTTTTTTCTTCTTTTCGTAATACCATGCAGGGAAGTTGCATACAAAACCTGACAACCTCATGATTGTAATCCTGAAAGCAAGACATCAGCAGGAACTGTAGCCAAAGTTCCCTCTCAATATTCAAAATAAGGATCAGTGTCCTTCTTCACTTGCTGAAGACAGAGTTAAAGAATTGAAACCTTAAGTTTCATTTTAAGTTCATTTTAAGTTAAGCCTGACAGGCTCACCAATACACAGTGTCATCTTTGAAACATCCTGCTCTCTTTCTTTGGTTGTAGCTGGACAAACACCAGCAACTCTGCTAAGCCCTTTTCACCTGTTGCAGCTCTCAGACCCCTCCTCTCTTTTCTGCCTTGCTCTAAGGAGCAGACCATTACCCTCTTCCCTGCAGAGAGTCTACCATGAGCTATTTTTATTCTCTCTGCAATTCCCTAACTTTCCCATGCCAAATACTTGCTAGGAGTCATCAACCTTCAGCAAGGCCGAGAAATGAATCAAATCTGCTGCCAGATCATTTAGGAGATGAGCCAGTTTAGAGTTAGGGACATTTTTTAATAGTCCCAATACTGAGGGAATATTTAAAATGCTGTAGCTTTAAAAAATCATCTCCAAACTTTTCAGAATAATTCTATTCTGAGTAACAAGCTGCAGATGAAGCTTCAGAGGACTGGCTTCCTTTAGGAACATTAGGGCTTATAATAAACTATTTTTCTTCACTTTGTAGATCAATCCACCCACCCATTCTTCCACCTACAAGTGTAACCTAACCCTATATACAAACGTAGAAGGCCCCAAAGAGAAAGACTCATTTAGAAAATCCTGTCCCTGCTGATTTGCATCACAATTTACAGGAACAACATGTTTTCAGTTATCTTATCACTATGTATACTGCTTTTATTTTTCTCCAACTGCATATAATTTTTTCGCCCTCCTACATTTTCATTTCCCTTCAAGCTACAGGAACTACTGGGCACTGGTAAACTGATGCTGCACAACCCTTCAGAAGCAGATGTTTAGCAAAGATAGGTGATATGATCCATGTGTAGAAAACTCTTATCTCTCTGTGGACATACAGTTCTGCTTTGAACATAATTAGTATAGATCATGTAATGGAGTTGTTTGGGTTTTTTTCCCATCTAGCTCTTTTCCTTCAGTTTTCATAGTGGATCTATGCACAGGAAAGGAGAGAGGCACTGGGAGTTTTTCAAAACAAGGCTATCTTAAAGTGAGTTATGTTTTGGAGGGTCGACAAAACAGTGAGGGGAAAGCTAGCAAACAAACCTTTGCTTTATAACTGAGGAAATGAAATGTTATCCTGCAGGACCTAAAGTCCATGGGACACAGGGAAATCTCACACCTTCCAGCTTCATGTGGCAGGCTGTCTCCCAGTATAGCCTGGTTTCTGCTTCTTGTCTGAAGCAGGAACTGAAATATCCCAGAAACCTGGGTCTGGTCCCAGGGAAAGGGAGAGGAGACAGCTGCCCTTCCTAGGAAACGTGAAATGCATACAGCTGGCCAGACCTGCTCAAAGAGCTTCTGAAGGCAGCTGAAGGAAAAAGGTACAGCCTGTGCAGTGGCCACAGTCACTTCTGACAGAAATGCAGCCTGCCTGGAACACAGTGTTGCCCGGGGCAAGCATTTACATGGCCGGGTGGTGTGCTGCTCCTGCAGACTGTGTCACTTGGCACACATCTGGCTGACACAGCTGGATCACTTCACTCAGGTGTTTTATTTTAGCGCCTGACATAAAGACTGGCAAGCCACACGCAATCACTGAAACCACTCTCCCAGGCAGCCCCGTGGAGCTTGCTGATGAGGGAACGCTTTACACGCTGCACTTGCAGGCACCATCTCCACCATCCGCTTAGCCCTCTCGGCTGCAAATGCAGCTTTAGCACACAGCATCTAGATAAACTGAAAAGCTCCAGGGTTAAGTGGGAAATAGAAATCTAGTGACCCCTGTCTGGGCAAGTGAGCTTAATGACTTGTCTGCTGCTGCATGTACCAAACATATGCTGGCAAACATCTGTCTGAGAAGCCCCTCCAAAATAAATGATTGATGGAGGTGATTTGCCTTTAAAAATTAGGTAAGTCAGCTAGGAGTCCTGCTAGAAAAGGGTTAATGGGATATACGAATTGGTAATGAGTGGAAGAGAGAGTAGAGAAGCTGGAGTCAGAGGCAACACCCCTTGTTAGGTGTTTACCATGTCAAATCTAAACCGCTTCCACTGCATATGCAAGGCAGATGAATTACTCTGTAAATCCTATTACTCTGTGTGGATAAATCTTACATTCAAGTTAACAAGTCTGGAGAGCTGGGGAATGGAAGCTGCTGAATGGATATTCCAGGATCAAAACAACCGAGGACATGGGAGGCGACCGAAGCGATATGCGTACGCGCGCGCACACACACACACACATCCCTCTTCCAGCATCCTTCTTCCCTCTATCATTAAATGGGAGGGATGCAGGACACAGGGGATGGCGTAGCAGAGTGTTTGGTGACATCCAGCAGGATTTATTTCACAGAAAGAGAAAGAAAACTTTGCTGCTGCTGTTAGCTTTACTAGGGTATTGCTCCCTTGATGCTTCAGGGTTTGTGCACTATCAGCTCCTGATACAGATCACAGACTTATTTTAAATGACACCCAGTAGTTTTACAGCCATAGCACACAGTGTTCACACTCACACATGCAGAATTTTCCTTCAGTAGGGGAGTTACTGCAGGTAAGTTGAGTGAGGCAGAATTTGAAAAAAAGAAACCTACAGGAAAAAGACCACTGCAGTTTAGCTATTTGGGACGCTCCTAACTGAAAGCCCAAGTACTGTCAGAAGTACCTTTGGAAAAGCTGCACAATGAAACCAGAAATATAACCCTCAATACTGCCAGTAAGCAAGGTTTCATGTGCAGGCATCCTCATCACAACCAGGCACACAGGCACAGCATACACCCATTTATTTAGCCCTGCAAAACAGCCAACACACCAAGATATAATCTTCATAAATGTCAGAGCTGCTACACCATTTTTTCACCAGCCTTTTCAACTATTGTAACCATCTTCCCTCCTGACAGGGCAGAAAAATAAATAAATAAAATTAAAAGACAAGAGTTTCCCAAAAGAACTTGCCTGAGAGTTCTGGCAGCACCAAGGGTAAAGTTTTTGCATATGTACAAAAAGAAGCATGGGAAGATCAATGGAACATCTGGCAAGCACAGCTGGATCCCTTTTCGATGCCTCTATTGATACTGCAGGGCTGGTGGAAAGTGTACGCTCACAAGAGCTCTCTAACACAAACAGATCTTTCCCCACTGAAATTCTTTCGATCCAGAGCACTACACAGAGGATAGTGTGGCAAGAAGTGTTCAAAAGCTTTGCAATTTTTTCACATTAAAGCACAAACACAAACGCAGAGCCTGTTTGTAGCAGCTGCTGCTACTGCAGTTTGAGAGGTAAAATAACACACACTCTCACAGAGACATATACACACGAATCTGTATCACGTCACACGAACACGTTGCATATATGGCAACATAGATGCACACACAGAGAAGGAAAAGTTGGCAAAATGCCCTACCTGAGGATGGCTGTGTCCCCTTGCCTCACGGTGATGTTATCGGTACCTCGGGTAAAATCCACGCTGCGGACTGGCAGCCCTGTAGGGAGAAGGCAAAGCAATCTCAGTAGGACCAGCGGTAATTGTTTCCGATCAGGCTGAGCCCTTGCTACCATGGCTGGTCTCGTCGAGTTTCACTGTCAGTACTTGTCTCTTTCTCTGCCTGTGTATGTGGACAGATAGACGTAGAAAGAAAAACAATAATAATAATGTACAACTCTCGCTCTGATCGACAGCCTGAGAAAGGGGAGGTGATTTCACAGTCCTTCTCAGCTGCCACTTTCTCTTGCTCTTTTCAGTCTCTTGCTGGCTTCTTTCCCTTGCTTGCCTTTATTTTTTTCCTTTAAGGCTTTCAAAAAAAAAAAAAAAAAAGTCTTAGCAGAGCTTTCAAATAAAAAAGAAAAAAAGAAGCAAGATGTAAAAGTCAGGTAGCAAAATAACTACGAAATAATAACAATTAAATCGACCCGTTTAGAGTGATGAAGAGAGGTGGGGGAAAAAAAAAAAAAGGGAAAAGGAACAAGAGGAATCCTGTGTCGCCGGGATGCGGGAGGGGATAGTCCTGTGGCTGTGCAGCCTCCAGCCCCGCGCTCCCTCCTAACCCACTTTCCCAGGCGGAGCGAGGGAGGGAGGAGGAGGAGGAGGAGGAGAGAGGGAGAGAGGGAGGAGGGAGCCTTACTCGTGAGACGGCAGCTCGGCACCACAGCGGCGGCGGCGGGCGCGGAGGAGCCGCGGGCCGTGCTCCCCATCCCTCCCCATCCCTCCCCATCCCTCCCCATCTCTCCCGGAGGGCGCAGCCGCCCGGGGACCCCGCGCCGGGGACCGGGGCTGCCCGGGGGGACACGGAACGGCGGCCGGGGTCGGGAGCGGGGCACTGCAGCAGCGAGAGGGGGCTTGGAAAGGCAGGAGGGCTGCAAGGCAGAGGGGAGAAGCCCTGAAGGAGAGGGGAGGAGGGAGAGGCAGAGAGGGAAGGGGATGGGAGAGGAAGAGGGGGCTGGGGAAAGGAGGAGAAGGGGAGCGGGGAACTGGAGCGGGAAGAGGAGAGAAGGCAGGAGCAGCCGGGAGCTGCTGAGCGGGAGGGAGGCACAGGGAGTAGGGCACAGAGGACGGAGGAAGGTACGGCCAATATTCTCAAGATGAAATAGTGAGGAAAGAGGGTCTGTGGCCAAAAGTGCAAACAACTTGGCTTAGCGGCCTGAAGCCGCACGCTAGCTGATTTACAGAGCAGCATCCTTGGCAACTGCCTCTGCAGCCTCAAACCTCGCTTCTTCCCCTCTCAGACTTTCCTCTCGCCAGATAACCAGTTGTACATCCCTCCCTCCCACCTCTCTCCACTCAGCCCTTCCCGCCCCCCACCTCCTTTCCCAGCCTAGAGCGACGGAGCGGAGACAATGCCGGCATTGAGCTGCCCGCGGTGTGAATGCTCGGCCTGTGCTGCCAGAGCCCGCAGCTGAGCCCCGCGCCCGCCGGCAGCAGCGCTGCCCACCGGGAACGCTCCCGCAGCCCACCGCCGCCGCCAAGAGAAGGGAGATTAAATTAATGGAAGGGAATAAGCCGTATGTTTTATTGCTGATGCCTGCCTGCCATTCCACCAGCCCGATGTCTGCCTGCGGGAGGGATCAGAACTGCTCCTAGGGATGCTTCGCTAATGTAACCCTTCTGCGGCCAAAGCACGGCGGGGCTGGGACTGGGAAGCAAAGAGAGAAGGGGAGGTTTAAGAGGGGTCCAGAGAATCAGGTGCAAGAAAAGCCATGGGGTTACTCGGCCGAGAATTGCTGTCCTGTGTGCTCACAGCGCTGGTACATGTGTGCAGTAAAGGAAAAACAGGTCCTGTACGTAGCCTGCTTCACCTCTGCTCCTGCAGCCTTGTGGGATACAGTGTGCTCAAACTACACAGACATAAGGACTGTCACTGTCATAGAAATGGCCATGTGGGACCAGATCAAAGGACCCTCTAACCCTTCCTCTTGTCTCCAAGCAGCCTAAAGCCAATGCCTGGTGAAGCTCTCAAGCATAAGGCAAGCATGCAGTGGTACTGCCCCAGGGCACTTATCTATTTCTAGTGATTTATGGCTAAGGCATGTCCCCAGCCAGTGGCACTGCCTTTGTAGTTAATGGTACTTGAATGATTTTCTTCTTCCAGGAATACATCCAGTTGCTTTCTGAACTCTTAGAAACTGGCCCTTGCAGCCTTGGTATGGAAAGACCGCACTGTCTGAGTACTTAAACAATCCCTGCAAGTGTTAAAAGCCCACAAATTAGGGACTAAGGTCATGACACTGCTGCTCCAGTGCCACGCATGCAGCAGCAGGAAGATATGACTGCTTTGTATTCAAGCCAAGGAGTGAGGCGAGTCAGACGTTTCCTCTGCAGTAGACTTGGCACGGACAGCACCAGAGGGGAAGAGGAGTGAGGAGCTAAAGGGGTTAATCCACGTGCTGGATGTACCCAAGCTACTGCAGAGAGAGATGCCACTCCACAAGGATATTGCTCTGGAGAAGACCACACTGCTGACACCCGATTGCTGACTAGTAACCACCACTCTAAGATGGAGAGTGCAAGGCACAGAGACGCATCAGGCTGCTGGCATGCCAGGAGAGGGGCATCACCAAGGGGAAACCTCTGCACTCCCCAGACAGACCTAGAGTACAGCTAAAAGACCCAGTCCCATATGAAGTTACCAATGAAAGAAAAGCACCCCTCTCGCAAGCCAGTGTTGCATGGATCCTTTCTACAAGGGTCTCCCAAATATGTTTCATCTACATTTAATAAGAGCTATTGTATGTTAATTAAATGCCCGTGGAGTAAGGAAAACATATTTGTCGAAGATTAACTATTATGCAATGCAAGAAGCATCTGCCACCCAACTGCTAGAGCTCACTAAATATTTCCTTATCTCAGAGTATTTACTTAGGAGGCAATAACTATCCAGTTAAATCTAAATTTAATGCTTAGTTAAATATAGTTCATAGAAAGTGGCACCAATATGTTTTATACAGAGAATGACAGAGGGGGTTTCAGAGAGGGAGAAGAAAGGAATCCTGTCTGGAGGCTCCAGTAAGATCTTGATTCCAGGTGGGACTGCATGTGGCCATGCCTCCCTACCAGGAGAGGTGCATCACAGAGGACTCAGAGGCCCCTCTCTGCTGATGTAGCAGTACACGGGATGATTTCATCTTCTTACACATTTATACAATCCTCATTAGAACTACTGTGGCATAACTATTTAATAATAATAATAATAATAATAATAATAATAATAATAATAATAATAATAAACAACACAGGGATGAGAAAGAAATTCCCTTGAGAGTCTTGTGAACCTTGTGAAAACTAAAACAAAAAAAAACCCTAAAGCTAATAGGCCTTATTTGCTTTTAGAAGTCTACAGAAGCAAAAGGAAGGGGTTGCATAGGTGTGAAAAGGCCAAACAAGCAGGAATAACACAAATCCTAGGAGAGCATCTCATGAGTAAAATAAATAGTGTTATTTTTTTATGTGTTCCCAGAAGAAATAACTCTCTAGACCCATCTCCCCCTGCTGGAAGAAGATAATGAAACAGCAGGTCTGGTTCCCAACTTTCCTAGCTTCTGAGACTTGAGGAAAAATTCAGGTAAACAGTCAGAGCATGGACACTGCAATCCACACCGCAGCCTTTTAATGCCATTTATCAGTACTCTTGGTAGGTGCAGGACTGGCAGGAAGAGCCTGACTGACCAGATTTTGTCCCTGCGCAGTTCAGGAATGGACAGAGCAGCATGAGCCCAGCCCCACAGGTACCACATCACTCCCCTCCAATGCAAAACACTTAAACCCTGTTTAAAGGGAACAGAACCCAGAGTAAAACACTTTGATGAGCACAGACTTTAAGGCCCAGACAGAGACAGAAATGTTTGGATAGCAGGTTCAGGAACGTATCTGTGTTTCCACACTATGGATGTGGGATTCGTTTGTGAACCAAGCTGGAAGGAAAACAGCATGAGCTGAGGCAGCCTGGCTATTCCTGCTTTCCTGTCTTTGAGGGGAATGGGCTGAAGACATGACAATGTGGACACCAAGGCTGGCTAAAGGAGACAGCCTCCACACTGGTCCTGGATGTGCAGGAGATATGTTCAGACATGCCATGCTGAGCTGCCCTGGGTACTCAGGTCACCTCTGCCTACCTGTGGCAGCTCAGATTTTCAGATACTCAGGGACTGACATTGTGAAAGCCTCAAGTGCCATCTGCTTTTCATGGAGAGCCAAGAGACACTGAAAGCATGGACTCTGTCCACAAATAGGAGTGGGATTTTTTCTGCATTTGAGGTGGCTAAATGCAAAGAGCGATCCACGCACTTCACTCAATGCCAACTGCGACAACCATCTGTATGATGTGGATGGCTGCCCTCTAGGACTGAAGTGAGGCTCGTCAGCTCATGCTACAAACAGCCACAAAATGGAACTGTTCTCACTTGACTTTCTTTCACTATCAGCCACACCAAAACTGGTGACTTGATCCCAAATACTGCTGAAATCAGGGAAAAGGCATTTCTGAAAAATACCAAAAAAAGCAAACAGCTCACACAAGTCTCCAGACCATATCATGACTGACACAATAATTTTAAGGGGACTCCGCAATGGCTGTGCCAGCAGAGTCCAGGCACATAGGGACTTTATTTGGGATATCTGCAACAGTGAGCGAAAACGTATGATGTTTTGTGAGCTATAGCACATTTAGTCAAGATACACTGCTGCACAATGCAGCAGAGCCTGCTCAAAGCTTCTCAGCCATGAAGAGAAAATGCAATTTTGTCTCATTGGCAGAGGAGTTATGGAGAGGAACGAGGAAGAGCCAAAGGGGTTTCACAACATGGTGAGGAAGATTAAGGGACCGTGGAAAGACAGCCGTGATCTCTCTGTCCTTTCTTCGTTCCCATATCTACAGCTCCTACATGCACACATTTCTGCTCTGATGTGCAAGGGCATGCATAATTCCCACTGCAATTAAGCAGTTATGTTCCATTCTCCTTTGGTCCCTGAGATACAGGGAGCCATAGAAGAAAGGGAGAAAAAACAGGGATAGGAGGGAGTTGGGAAATCAAACTTATGAAGCACTTACTATAGGGAAAAATTCTGCAGTTTGAGAAAAATACTTATATATGGTTCCTATGAATACTTTGCAAGTCTAAAAATTAAACTGGCTTTTGATGCTGAAAAAAAGAGCCAGTTTAGAGCCAAGGCTAACATCCAGACATGTACTGCAACAAGACCAAGCTTCCTCTGAAGTTAGGACCTCATTAGGTAGAAGAATTAACTGCATGGAGAGCACTCAGCTTGGCCATAACTGCGGATGATAACATGCATGCACAGTACCTCTCTCTAAGCGTGGTCACTGAGCTGTAACAGAACTCTCTCCTGTACAAGAACAAGAGCTGATTTTCACCAATTTGTAACCTTGCTACTATGCAATTGATCTGGTTTCACAATTGATCCCCTTGGTGTGGGCAATTTAGAGGTCAGGGGCCAGGTTCTCAATTGCTGTAAGCTGACATATCACCACCACTGTCAGAAGAGCTATGCTGACCTGCACCAGCTAAAAACAAGTTGTGAAGTTCA